GTTTTGTGTCTTTTTGTCGTTGTTTTTGTCTCTGTGGTTATTTTGTGTCTCCTTTTGGTTGTTTTGTGTCTCTTTGTAGTTGTTTTATGTCTCTTTGTGGTCATTTTGTGTCTTCTTTTGGTTGTTTTGTATCTTTTTGTAGTCTTTTGGGTCTCCTTTAGGTCATTTTGTGTCTTTCTGAGGTAAGGTTGTGTCTCTGTGGAGTAACTTTATGATGTTTTTGGATGTTTTGCATCACTGTGTGGTCATTTTGTGTCTCTTTGTGGCTGTTTTGTGTCTCTTTGTAGTTGTTTTATGTCTCTTTGTGGTCATTTTGTGTCTTCTTTTGGTTGTTTTGTGTATTTTTGTAGTTGTTTTTTGTCTCTTTGTGGTCATTTCATGTCTACTTTGGTTGTTTTGTGTCTCTGTAGTCTTTTGGGTCTCTTTTAGGTAATTTTGCATCCTTCTGAGGTAAGGTTGTGTCTCTGTGGAGTAATTATATGATGTTTTTGGTTGTTTTGCATCACTGTGGGGTCATTTTTTGCATCTTTGTGGTTGCTTAGTGTCTTTTTGTAGCCATTTGGGTGTCTTTGAGGTAACTTTGTGTCTCTCTGAGGTAATTGTGCCTGTGTTTTGGCTGTTTTGTGTCATTTTATGTCTCCTTGTGGTTGTTTTGTGTCTCTTTGTTTTTGTTTTGCATGTTCTTGTTGCCTGAGGGTCTACTCATCCATTCAGTCATTTGAAAATCATTCTGTTTTGCTGATATGTGCATCGGAGTTAAGGGCAAACTAATAAATGTCTCTTCCATTCACAAACTGATAACAGACATGTATTGATTTACTCTGAGTTTTAGATTTCATACATACACAGCAAAACATCAATGTTGTGCTCTTAAATGAATGACAAACTCTGTTCTAACACAGCAGGGCCAGTGAGCATAAAGGCAACACTGTATAAAGTTTCTCTGTGACATAACAGTGGAACAACACGTGTCGAAATAGCCTTTATGCTTGGCCTAATCACCTGCGTTTGTTTGTTTGTCTTCATGAGATTACTGTTTCCAAAGCAGTTTGACAGCACATCACAGTTGTACAGTTTGCTTGAGTCATGCTGCAGTATTTCTTTCAGTCCCCTCCTCCCCGGAGAGAAGGCGAAGATAAAAGGATAAAGAGATGGAAGATAAAAGGGGGACTTGTACCACACATGCACCCCAGCTGTTCCTGTGTGATTCTGATCTATCAGGCTTAACATGGAATATTTATGGATCCAGTGACAGGCGGCTCTGAGGTGAGCTGCTCTGATATCACTTGATGCCACAGTTAGTTCAATGATGCCTCTGTGTGGACAAAGTGTGCCATTACATCACTGTGGATAAACCACACACAGTATTGTGCATTACATTACACGACTTATTAATGAAGCTCAGGGAGTTATTTTGCATTTCTAGGTCAGTCTTGATTAAGGTGCTGTAAGCTTGAAATTAGAGGTGAAGTACATGCTGCTCTCGACATGATGTGACCTGTTGCAGATTATAGTTTCAAACCACTGAGGAGAATCAATCAGCAGCCGGCTCATGTGTCTCCCCACTGAGGCTCCAACAAGGAGACTTTTGTTTGATAAGCAGTCATAAGGAGCGTCTGGGGAAGTAAATGTAATGTGTTTAGGACTATTTGTGCAAAAAGAAAATTGATTCAGATTACGTAACTTCCAGCTCCTCTGCTTGAATTGCAGACATGAATAAGAGAAGCTCTGTGTGGGTGAGGATGACTTTAAATCTGTATAGCTGATCACTCTTACTTTCTAAGGACAATTAAAGGAATACTTCACCCACAAAACCTTGCCTTGAACTTGTGAAGAAAACTTGTTGTAGTTTTTCTTGCATGCCTCTGTGGAAAATGGTGAACATATTGATTTACTGATTAATTCGGGACCATGTTCAACAACAGCAAACTATTTCAAAACATCCATTTATAAACTCAGAAACTTGAGCAGTATAATCCAAGCCTTATTTATTTAGTTGTATGCTCAGTACTTCCCAAAACACATTTTCACCAAAAAAAAAAACTTGGCTTGAAAGAGAGCATTGATACTTTCAGTCACTTTCAGTTATGTTTTAAATCGTGAGTTCTTGCAAAACTGCATGTGTTTGGGAAGTACCCAGAATACGACTGGATAAAAGAGACTTGAATTGTACAGCACAAGTCGTGTGAGAGTTCATGAACTGATGTTTTGATACAGTTTGCTGTTGTTAAACATGGTCCACAATCAATCCATAAATTAATATGTTCACTGTCTTCTGTGGAGGCATGTAAGAAAAGTTTTCTTCACAAATTCAAGGTTACACGGCACGACTTACTGATTTACACATGGTCATTTTGTGGGTGAAGCATTCCTTTAAAGCATAAACTACATATGACAGCATTCATATGACCTGCACACATTTTCACGTTGGTCACGAATGTATTGGTGGTGACAATGATGGTGATAATATCCCCACAGAGTTTAGGTAAAACAGCTACGTCATAATGAACCACATGCACTGGGTTATGTCCTTTAAACCAGAAATTGGGAAAGGCCAGTTTGTTGACTGTTAATATAATTACAATTTGTAGTCAATAAAGAATTCATTAAGACATAAATAGGCAAGGTAGCTTTATTTGTATAGCACATTTCATACACCAGAGCGATTCAAAGTGCTTAACGAGCAATAAAAAATAAAACATAATAAAGGATAAAAAAGATATAAAAGGTAAAATTAATTCTAAATGATTTACAATTTAAAAAATCCCCGTTAAAAGAGGTGCAAAGATAACAAGATTATTTAACTGATTTAAAATTAAGTTTAATAAAGTTGCAGTACAATTAAAATCAATAAAAGTACTTGATTAATGAAAATTACAGTGCAGTGCAAACAGGGTGAAGTTGGGTAGTTTGGGGTATCAGGTAAAATGGGACAAGTAAGGTTTTACATCTTGGGTTCTTTAAATATTAGCAAGGAATCACCAAACATGTTATTGCAAAATATGTTTTACGTATATATATATTTTTATTTTTTTTTGGTCTGAGAGAAATAGTGTGGGCCCTTGCAGGGACGCCATGTGGCATGTTGATTCTCTGTTCTGTTTTGAAATAAGAGAGCTGCAGCTAAAACAATCAGGGAAGGCCCTTAACAACAAAAATGGCTGTAGAATATTTGACTTATAATCAAAATAATTTCACAATACACTTTACTTTTCTTGGGAAATGGTTTTGAGTGAGTATATCATGCGCCTAGGTAAAATGGGACAAAAGAATGAAGCTAAAATTGGATGTTTTTCTCAAGTGAAACCAGCATATTTTAGGCTACAAGGTACCATACAATCATGACCTATGCTATTGTGCACCACCCTGTAATATTACAGACATTTTTAGTATTTTTTTTTTTGTCAATTAAAAACATGACCATGTGCAGACAACTGCAGTGGTACCATTGGTTTTCAATGTACCCTTGGTTTTAACAGACAATTATGCACCTTGAACATGGAACAATCTCCAAAAAGATCTAAATTAGAAACACTTATATCCATCCATGAATTTAAGGGCATCATAGAGAATGTGGTGATAGAGACATGTGCTTGTTTTTTCTTGAGAGGTCACTATGTTTGAATAGTTGTTGTTTTATTGTGGATTTTTGTATTATATGTTGTATTTGTTGCATTTTAAATATGTTCTGATTGGCTGCTGTCTCGGCCAGGTCTCTCTTGTACAAGGGATTTTCAATCTCAATGGGACTTTCTGGTTAAATAAAGGTTAAATAGAATAAAAATAAAAAATCATTGTTGCACACACAAGCACACACACGTATTTCCACTGTACAAACGGGTAGTAAAAGAACAGGCAAGGTATGGCAGAACAGTTGGATGATCTTTTTTAATGAATATAGGTTACATTAATTAGATAATGAATTACTGACTGAATTGATGAATGGATTTAACTATTTAAAGCACAAACATGTCTGTCCCATTTTACTTCAGGGTACAAGCTGTCCCATTTTACCTGAACATGACCTGAACATGGGTCCATGACTGAAAGTTTCTTAAGTATTTTGCTTGGCAACACATTTTTTATAGAGATGTAGCAGAGATACATAACAAGTGTAATGGTAACACTTGGTCTTCAGAATTTTAGGGGGTTTTCTTGGTAATCTACCATAGACTGTCCCCAATTAGACTACCTGACTTCACCCTAGTTTCAGTTTTGGTTTAAAGAATAAAGTAGGCTCTAAGTTATCTGTTGATCACCCTCTGTATAACTGTACTCCCTGCTTTCCACGTGGCTGTATGAGCCCAGTCAATGCTTTACTTTACATCTGATAGGCCTGTATGTAAGTATACATGGTGTTTAAAATGTTCGGTCTACAAAAAAGGAAATAGCTTCACATGTTGATGAAAGAGGATGTGATTTCTTTCCCCTACACAGTGCGTGGGTGGTATTTGAATAAAAAGGAAATTAGGCCAGACAATCAATTAAAAGTCACGTTCCTGTCTCCTTTTGAAGGGCTTAAACAATAACAAAACGTCGTTTCACTTTGTTTTGCTCATTTGGGACTTTAATTCAGGCTGTTAAAAAATAAATTAATAATTCATGAGTTTTCTACTACCATCCCAGGAAAACAAAGCTACAGGGGGTGCGGTCTTTCCTGTAGTCGAGAACGGAAGCGGAAATTCGGCCATCTCCTCGTACATTCAAGCTACAACAGGGTCAGTACACACTTGATTTCAATTTTTACTGTGCTGTGTTGTCTTTATTTCTTGACATTTTTGGCTTGTGGTTTAAACTCGTAGGTTCAACACTGCCCTGAAGCAGGACGTGTCCTTGTTAAAGCTTGTACAGTCCAGCAGTCCTGTTGCGAACTAACTGGCAGGAGCTAGCTAGCTAACTGCTACCTTGCTAGCAGGCTAATCTTTCCTAGCAGCAGCAGCACCAGCAGCAGCAACAGAGCAGCAAGTGATTTCTTTTATCAGTCAAACTGACAGGTAACCTTAACGTCCGTGTCTGGTCTGGTTTGTTTCAGTGTTGAGATAAGAACACCACCTTTAATTTGACGTTACTTTACCTGCTAATTCCTGCCTAGCTACACCTTTCTGTACCCCTGTTTATACTTTACCCAGACTTTACCCAAACCCTGGTGTCAAAGTGCTAGCCAACTGTTTCGACTCGCTTAGGTGAGAATGGGAGAGTTTGCCTGCTAAGTGGCTAATGTAAGCTAACAGTGCCAGGTGACAGCTAGCGTTTGTTGGCTAATTAGCTGTAGTAGTTGCTCGTAAACTTGTCTTTCGCACACAGTCTATGTGGCACACATATGCTGGTTTGACGATGCACCTGGTAACACTGTTGTATAACGTTAATGTGAGGGTAACCATTAACTCTGAGTCTAGACTCTGCGCTGTGTCAAACACCCAGCGTAAGTTAACAGTTGCTGGTTAGCTAGCATAACGTCAGTTGACACAGCGTTAGCTAGCTAACTTGGTAGGTGTGACAGGGAAAGCTGCATTTGGATGGGCAGCGGTTCGTTAACGTTATCTGTGTGCCAGCTAACAGGGTGTGGGTAACTTTTTCGTTGTGGTGTGCAACGTTAACTGCATGCAGTTGATAGAAGGAATACGTTAGATCTGGTATCAGCTTTTATTGGCAAAGTAAATGTGTAAATATAATAGGGCTGGGCAGGATATCAATATTAGATTGATAGTGTGGTGATAGACTAGATACTGTCTTGTCTTCTCCTGGTTTTAAAGACTGCATTATAGTAAAGTGATATACTTTATTGAGCTTCCCAGACTGTTGTAGCTTTACTGTTATTTGCCTTTACCCACTTAGTCTTTGTATCCACATTACAGACCATTACTTATTAAAAACCTTATTGTGTAAATATTTTGTTAAAGCAACAACAAGCAAACCTACAGTACATTCACAATATGGACATCAAGGTGTTTGTTCAAAAATATATAGATTTTTGATTTTCTTCATATTGCCTACCCCTAACACATACTAGGAATTTGACTCTTGAGTTTTTTGTACTTGCACAGAAACAAACATAACAGCTAAAAGCAAGGACAACAAAGCTGAACAAGGTAAACAAAAACATCGCACTACCATGACTTGATATGAATATATATATATAAAAAAAAAAGTACATAACATATATAACAAAATTTACTTTGTGGACAAGAGGCAGGGTACACCCTGGACAGGTCGCCAGACTAACGCAGGGCTGACACATAGAGACAGACAACCATTTACACTCACATTCACACCTATGAACAATTTAGAGTCACCAGTTAACCTGAATGTCTTTAGACTGTGGGAGGAAGCCGGAGTACCTGAAAGAAAACCCACGCTGACACTGGTTTCTCTCATGTTTCTCTCTGGGTTTCTCTCATGCAAACTCCTCACAGAAGGGCTCCCCCCATCCAGGGTTTGAACCAGGAACCTTTTTGTTGTGAGGTAACAATGTTATTATTATTATTACTACTACTACTACTACATTGTATTATTTTTAGATTTAAGGGCGGCAGTAGCTCAGTACATAGGGACTTGACTTGGGAACCATAATGTCTTCTGTTCAAGACCCTGTATGGAGTGTGGACTGGTAGCTGAAGAGTTACCAGTTCATGCTCTTGTCCTTTTGAGCAAGGCACAGAACCAGGGTTGGAAATTAGCACCAGACACACCAGCCAAATGTTGGTTAAGTATACATGTGACTGCCAGATTAGCTTCACTTACCAGCCAAAAAAACACAGTAATCCATTGAGTGGCTGGTAGATTTTGGAATCCACCAGTCACAGTGGCAGGTGGACAAGAGAGTTCATTTCCACCCCTGCACAGAACCCCCAACTGCTCAGGTGCCTGTCCATGGGCAGCCCCCTCGATCTGACACATCTCTCCATTAAATGCACGTGTATAGGTAGTGTTTGTGTGAGTAAATTTCCCCTCTGGGATTATTAAAGTAAGTCGTCATCTTCTTCTTCTTGAATAGAAGACAGTTATGCAGTGGCATGGAGTGCAAAGGGTGCTGGAATAAAATTTATTATTATAACAGGTTGCTTTACATACATGAGGTAGTTGGATTTGGCAGTATATAGCCCACAGCCTGCTTATACTCATATTGATGTTGATATTTGCATGTTCAAAAACTGTGTCTATAAGCCATAAAAATACCACAAAGTTATTGACACTGCATGACTAATGTTACCTGTTCATCATAGTGACTGCCTGTGGAAAGAAACTGTTTTAGTGTCTGGTTGTTTTGGCATACGTTGTTCTGTCGCACCTTTCAGAGGGGAGAAGTTTCAACAGGTTGTGTCGAGGGTGTGAGTTCTACACTGCAGTAATATCTTAGGTTTAATGCCAACTCTTCACCCTGTTGCTAATGCAAAGCTTACGTTACATTTGTAACATAGGTGTAACTGGGATTTTTTTGGTCCTCAATCACTTATCTACAACAGGTTGTAAACGTTCAGTGTTTAGCTTTGCATGGCTAGCTGTGTGTTGAGCTAAGTACGGCATCTGTCTCTCATAATAAACCATAAAGTGATTGTGTTTTCTGTCCCTTAGTGCTTCAGAACAGCAGAAATTAAATGTAGTAAATTACATTTTCTCAAAGTGGTATAGATTGTGGAGAAATGTAGGACAACCAGAGATACCAAGGGCATGTTATGTCCCTTATCACAGATCAGCGTGTCTGAACTTTGGTACAAAGATTCAGGAGTCCCTGAGCTGGCTTTTGCAATAGTTGCCTTATGTTCCTTTATGTAACATGGTCTCGTATTTGTCTGACCTACAAATCTAAACGCTGACATACATTTGTGTCAGGCCTATACGAACACTTTAAAAAGTTGTGTTTTGGAAGAGCATATTTGTCATGTCACTGGTTTGCCAAAGAAAACCTGAACAAAAAGTCATGTTTGAATTCATATAACTGCTAAAATGTGTTACTCTTGTTAATAAACCAGTTTATTTAACTGTGAGTGTGGGAAACAGTCCACAGGCATGGAGTGTGCCAATATTCTTTACATTGCTTATAACAAACTAACAAACAAACAAACAAAAAAACAGTAAACCCAGGTAAGTCTGTGTACCTCCCTGTCACCATTGAGTCTGAGTGCAGTCTGCAGAAAGGTCTGCAAGAATGGAGGGAGCAGCACTGTTTCTCCTTTCAGTGCTCATTTGCCTGGTCGGAGGTAATATTCATGCAGTGGGTGGGATGAATTTGTCATCTTCTTTGGCGCAAAAAAAGTGTCTTCCTCCCTTTAGTCTTTAAGAGATTGCAGCTGAGGGAGTGGCCAAGCACTGTGTTTGAAGATGATCTTAAATGCCCTTTGCTGAGCTTGCTCAAACTTCTTCTCTTTCCATTAAGTACATCTAAAGAGAAGAACATGTCCAAACTCAAGCAATAACATAATTATAGCACAGCCTTATGAAGAGGCAGACAAATAACTGGATAATGACTGGGTGTCTTTTATTATTGTACGGGAAAGGTTAGGGTTAAGGCTTGTTCTTAAACTTTCATCGAGAACTTTTAAATGGACTGACAACAAAGTGATGTCTGGAGGTGAGTTAGGTACGTCTAAAGCCACTTTCAGAAAGCTTTTTGTTTGTCATGTTGTTTTGTAACAGGCCAAGATGGCGTGTATTTGGTGAGAAAATGCAGATAGTAGCGGTGAAAGGATACATCTGGTCAGCAACAGTGTTTCAGCCTGCTGTGTAAGCAATCAAATACAAACAATGCTCCGTAGGTACCGAGGGATCCGATATTGTGCCACAAAATCATTCTCCGCATGCCATTACACCACCAGCAGCAGCAAACTGGATGGGTCTGTGATGCTGCTGTCAAACTCAGACCCAGCTACCAGTGTGGCACAACAGAAACAACCATTTATTTCAACAGACACTGTCTCCGCTTGTCAGTCATCCAGTTTGTGCTGATAACTTGCTCACCCTACACTTCACCTCTTGTTAATAGTTGACAGGAGTAAAACACTGTGTTTCACTTCGAGGCTTGACAGCTGTATGTTCTCAGATGCCCCTGCACATAGTGTCTTATCAAGTTCAGATTTGCGTACTCTTGGCTCATCTCTTAAATAAAAAAGTCATTAGCTTTACAAGTCTTTCTGTGCTCTGGCTTCTGTCTTTCCATTCCTGTAAACTCTTATTCCACTTGATGTTACTGCCTGGTAATGAGATTAAGATAACAGCTCATGGTGTTATCAATCTGATGATAAGAAATATTATTACATGAAATTAAATGGACACATGTTGTTGTGTAGCAGGCCGCAGAGTTCAAAATTCAGTTTCTGTGCAGAAATCCAATATTCATTTAATGCTGCTGTTGCATAGCTTGACCCTGATGGAAAGATAGAGGTTGCCTGAATGATTTTCAAATGTGAAAGTAATTATTGACTGAACCATGAATCAATCACAAGTTTGAAATGTGTACTTGAACATGTGAACCACATGTCTTACTCTTAACACGTGCAGCTCCTTTCAACTCAGATAATGTGACTTATACCTAATGCTACTATTTAGATTTGACAACTGATTTTACGAGTACGAGGAACAACACTTTTTTTTTTTTTTTTTTTACCATTCTGTGTGTTAGTGGCTCAGCAATAGTCTCTGCTATTGTTAAGAGAATAAAAAGGACTTCAAGACCCGACTTTCATAAGTAAGATGAAGTCTTTAACTATTATGTTAAATCTAAATATTAGCCATGTGTGGATCAGCAGCAAGTCCTGTGATTTGTTGCTGAATATCTGCTTTGTAACCCAGCATAAAGTTTTAACTTGTCCTTATTTCTTTGTTGTGATTTAGTAGTAATCTTTCAGTGACTATGGGTTATTTTTTAACGTTAATCTCAATCTTGCTCTGTAGTTTTCATCTCCTCACGCTCGAGGTTTTGGGACCCAATGTTGCCACGGGAAGAAACAGACAAACTGAGACATAGCACTCCGTGAATGAGTGGCTCACGAGCCAGAACACACGAAAAAGATACCAAGAGGAGAGACCCTTATTCTGCATCATTCTTGTGTAACAGGTGTGCATGACACTGTTTCTCTTCCTCTGTTGATGCCAGTAGTCACGTGATTTCAGAATGATCTCTGGTATAGACACCATCTTTCACACTCCGATTGTTCCTCTCAAGGTCCCTCACTCTTTCATCCAGACTCTTGTGCTTGCATACATCTGCTCCAGTCCGTTTAACTCTTCATCTTCGTGCACTCTTTTTTTATCAGTAATAACTCTTTTAATGAAGTATTTTTGTCTTACATTTCATTTTAAATAATGTTCTTTGCCCTGTCGCTGTTTGTTTTGTATTAACTTTATTCTACAACCCTTCTTCTCCGTCTGCTGTTCAGATTGCAACAGAACTCGACGGCCAGACCGTTGCCATGTCGACCTCATCGCTACGGCGACAAGTAAAGAACATCGTCCACAACTATTCAGAGGCTGAAATCAAGGTTGTGTGTTCTTCTGCTTATCTGGCTTCTTCTGCTGTCCTCTCACACCCACATCCCCCATATGTCCGTGGCTTAAATGTCGCCCGTGTATCTCTGCAGCACATCTGACATAACGTAGCTGCTGATAATCTAATATTTCTTTGAAGCAATCTCCTCATTCTTTCCCCTGGTTATACATGATACGACATAATCTAATCATATTATCCGTTCATTAGTTTTTCCCTGTCTGCCTTGTGTTGTAATTGAGTTTGCATTGCTACTCAGAACACTGTGGACCATTAAATTGCCCCAAATTTTTCTTACCACGGACAGTCTTGGATGGAGGATAATTTCACTTTGTCGCTTGCTGTGCTGTTGTGCAGGTTAGAGAGGCGACATCCAATGACCCATGGGGCCCCAGCAGCTCTCTGATGTCAGAGATTGCTGACCTGACCTACAATGTTGTGGCCTTCTCGGAAATCATGAGCATGGTGTGGAAGCGCCTCAATGACCATGGCAAGAACTGGAGACACGTGTACAAGGTTTGTGTATGTGGGTGTGTTTGTGTGTGTTAAAGCCAGGGGTGTAGTGCTATTTCTTTAAGTACTGGAGTGCACCTTTGACACGTGTATTTGTGCACAGATGTGGTTAAGTTGTGGCTCTTTTGAAAATTATGTAACTGCTGTTCCTGGAAAGTTTACAAAGTCTACAGTGGTCAACTACAGCTGACCACATGATCAAATGTTAGAGAGACTTTAGTAATGGTTTCATCATGTTGTGATTATTACACAGTAGTCAGCCAAACATTAGAGCATAAGGCTCTACTGTGAATGTAGTCGATTGTAATTAGCGTAGCATTAAGCAATACAGTACAGGCCAAATAACGCAAGTAGTTTGTGTTTTGAATGATTCATTTACATACTTGTGCGGTGCACATGAAGCCGCATTCATAACATCCGTTCTCAGGAAAAGTTGCAGTGCAGGCAGAGGTCAGGCTCGTTAAACGTAGCTTCCCTGCAGGCATTGGAGCATAAGCTGGCCAAGTTTAACAGACTGGCTTTGTAATGCTTCTTTTCAAATGCTTCATTAATGAAGAAACCGTTGGAAGAGTGATGCATATATCATATACAGTCAGCTAGCTATAGACTGAGAAAAAATAATTGAATTCACTGCTGCTCCGGAGCTGCCGGCGGCTCCTGGCAACTTTTAAGGTGGAACTTTTTCTTGCATGTTACTCAGTGCACAAGCTGATGTTGTCATGAATCAGTCAACACACCCTAATTGTACATTTGGCAACTTTGACCATTCTATTTATTTATTTTATTTGATAATTGGATCTTCAGGCACTTATTAAATGTAATTAATTTCAACTGGAAAATTGAAACTGTAAATATTTCTGTACTTTGAGGAGAGAAAAAGTGGCATAGCGGCGTTCTGGTGCGCTCCAGCAGCACTGCACTTATGGTTGGGAATATTATTGTGGTGATCACAGTACATACCAATATTTCAGTAATGTGTTTGCAGTGTTGTAGTGCAATGTATGTGTAATGTACATTACTCTAGCAACGGGATGCGTCTTAAATTGCACCCTATTTACTGTGCAGTCCACTTAATTTAATTTAGTTTTTATCTTTTTTTAATAGTATTTTAGAGTGAAATTTCTATTCTATATAGTGCTTAGCTGTATTTTTCCTGATTTTTGTGGTAAAAGTTTTCACATTATGAGTTATTTAGTGATTCCCACTCTTTCACTACATACCTGTGTATTTTTGTGTGTGAATGCTGTAAATGCTCTAATTGTAGCTTTCTAACTGCCCTGATATCTGCATTTCTGCTATCTCACTATCCAGACTTTCTTTTACATTTGATCATTGTTTGTGATTTGTATTTTCCAGGCTATGACTCTTATGGAGTACCTGATCAAGACTGGTTCAGAACGTGTTGCCCAACAGTGCCGAGAGAACATATACGCAGTCCAGACCCTCAAGGATTTTCAGTACATAGACAGGGACGGCAAAGACCAGGTACACAAACACGGTCACGCTCACAAAGCTGCATAGAAAGTTAGAGTGATTTGTGAGTAAGGTCCACCTCTGTGGAATGCACAAAGTCAAAGGCAGTCAAACACGCCGCCGTGTGTCATTCAAGGACAATTTACAATGAGTGTCCGACCTCTTGTGCAAACTTACAGAGCTGGCCATAAAAGGTTTTTATGGGTTGTTGATAACTGAAACTGTGGTAAGTTAACGAGCTGTTACACTAACAGCACAGTGTAGTCACAGCTTTAGTAATTAAATGTATGTGTGTTTGTATAATATAACATTTAAAAAAGGGAACACACATCTGCAGCATGTAATTGTGTGCTTACACCTGTGTTTTTCCAGGGGGTGAATGTGCGAGAGAAAGCCAAACAGCTTGTGACGCTGCTGAAAGATGAAGAGAGACTAAGAGAGGAGAGGATCCACGCCCTCAAAACCAAAGAGAAGATGGCACAGACCTCCAGTGGTGAGACTTGCCCTTAAAACAGACATAATAAAGGGTTGAGCCAGTGCTCAGAGATACAGTGATACACTCTGAGAGAAGCTCTGAGCTTCTCTGAGACGTTAATAACCTGAGTCGAGCTCTCATCCATGCATATGCTTATTTGTTTTGCTGCAGCCTCCTCAGCTCCCTCAGCACCCAGCCTGGGGGGCAGCCTGTCAGTGGGCTCCCACTCTGGAGGGGCAGACCCTGAGCAGGCGTGGCCACAGAGCTCTGGAGAGGAAGATCTACAGCTCCAGCTGGCTTTGGCCATGAGTAAAGAAGAGGCAGAGCAGGTAACACAAAGCAGCATATTCAAGGCAGGGACAGCTGCATTACTGCTCTCTAAGATAAGGATTAAAGCATGACTATAACTAACTACAGCTAAGTTTGCAGTTTGTACAGTCTGTTGCAGCAGTTGTGTACACAGAGGCATATTACTGATAATTTTCACGACATACACCTAGCTTTGCTCTCACCATGTAACACCTGACCTCCCCCAGACTAGCAAGGACCCTCTGGAGGACGCAGAGCTCCGCTATGCAATCACACTCAGCAAAGAGATGCAACAAAAGGTCAGGGGCAGAGAGTGAGCCCAGCTGACTGGCCAGCCAGTCACCAACTATCTGTCTTTCTATCAATTGGAATCTCTCAAACACACATCGTGTATTGATCAATCAGGAAAAATTAATTTATGCTCATATTTGTCATGTGTCATTTTCCTCAAGATGCAAATTTGCATCAGACTGCAGTAATTTGGTTGAGATAATTTAGTTTGCTGTGCAGTGTCACATTTTTTCACAGTGCTTGCACTCATAAAAAAGTGTAGATGCTTTTCAAATCTTTGTCCAAAGTGAGCCCCCGAAGAATTAACTCTAATTTGATTTGTTGAATTTGCATGGCATTGGCAAATATTCATCATAACTGACTAAATTTAACACTGAATGGTTTGTAAGTGTTGATTGTTCTTTCCTCCCTGTCACCCTCTCTGATGGCATGCTTTGACCTGTAGCCTTTATTTGAGATGCACTCTTTTCCTGACCTGTTACACCTGTCTCCTGCTGTTGTTGTAACCTCCTTGTTCTGTGTTCACTGAGTGCAAAACGTGTTTGCTTGTTGTATTCAGGTGGTTAGAGTCCTGAACCTGCTTTACCACTTGACTGGTTAAGTTTATAAATTAATGCAGGGTCTTAAGGGGGATAATGCTGTTGTTGTTATTGCTTAGTGGCATCATGCATGAGACTTGTTCAGTTCTGCAGCAGACACGGCCTGTTTCCTTGTGGATTAGTCAGTGTTCTGCTGTGTGATAGTCAATCCTCCTTATAAAGACGTAAGACAAAAGGTGGCATTAGGTAGGGATGTCCTGGACTGATCTGCAAGATCTGTATTAGGTGTGATTAAGGCATTTTTATTCAATATTGGTTATGTAAAGCCTGCTTCATTTCCACTCCATTTTTTTTATCATAACCTTTTGTGCTCCTGGTAGGCTGGATGATAAAGTGGCTCCACTGTGCTTAGCTGAAAAACTATCTCTAATGCACAGCATCGTGAGCGAGTGAACCACGAGCAGCAGAGACAGATTAAAACCAGCCACCAGTTTCTGTGGATTATTCACAATGACAGCATGTCAGCAAGCAAATTAACCACAGCTGCTTTCACAGCTGCCCCCGCCCATTAAGTGCTGCTCTTGGTTGAAACTGCGTTCAAACCTCAGTATTCTGTTTTTCACATCCTATCTGTGTCTAAACCTGCTTGTCACAGCAGCACTACAGTTCTCAGTATTGTCTTGGGTAGTCTTGTGTCAACGGTTGTGAATGAGCTTTTTTTCTGTGTGAAACAAGCATTCGTCTGATTGGTTATTAGTTGAAATACTGTAATGTAGAATTGGTTGATTTGCGTTAATGTTCTGTCGATGATTAAAGGTCAGGTTCATTGTCCAATCCCACTGATTAAGACTTTTATTGTGGAATTGTAAACCAATCCTGAATCCATACGTGTGGTGTGCTGTCTGAAAGTGTGCGTCTCAGGTTGCTGACATCACAGTGTGTGTGATTGACAGGAAGAGCGACTGCGCAGAGGCGACGACCTGAGACTGCAGATGGCCATCGAGGAGAGCAAGAGGGAGAAGACCAAGCCTGAGGAGGTATGTGAAACTGTACATCTCTCACTCTTCTGTTGTTACTCTCTTTAGCTGTGTGTCTGTGTTTTTACAATTTACTGTACATATGAACTCAAACATTTTGTTGGTGGTTATTAAAGCCTCTCACATTAAATCAGTCACATACTTGAGTTTAAATCATTAAGAAGACGATAGAATGCTCAGCTGAATAAACCAGATGCTTTCATAACTAATGTAGGGGTGCACAGTTCGTACATATTACTAACATCGTTGATGCAAAGTAGATCAAAATCATGCCGATTTTTTTTAGTCGCTAATGCAATACCATTTTTCCATATGTGAAACCTGTCCAAATGGGGCTTTCTTTGGGATATGTCCAGATGTTCACAGCCACTATGTTTGGATTTATATTTGTTTTTCAGGCCTGTCAGTTGACATATTACTTGATGTAGCTCATTAATTTAAATTTTTCAGATTTTCATATACATTGATCATACTAGAAGATGCCTGTGTGCTCACACTCTGTCGACTGAAGCTGTACTTGGCATTATATGCTGTCAGATTCTTAAAGGTTGTAACTGGCATCGCTAGCTTATTTCAGCCTCGATCTGGGGCCTGAAATATCTGCAGAAACTGTCTCTCTGTTGAACGCAGATGGCCCTCGAACCACAGCATCGGTGTATGTGACTTTAAACATCTGTGCACATGGTGCAGAAATCAGGAATAGAAATCTTGTAGTTTCGTTAAGTTATAATAACACTGCACAGACAAGAAACTGAGAATTTATGGTAAGAAGTTCAGTCTGGTTTTGTTCACCGTCTGTTTGATGCAACTGTGTGGTCTGCAAATCGTCTACTACTTCTGTGTTTTATGAATCTTATCACAACACCATCATCTAACCTCAGCGTTGTGGGGTGATTGTGTCTTAGATTTCTTAGCCAAATATCTCTTCATGGTCTGCTAGCTGTCTATTCGATGGGCGCTGAAAAAAACCTGGTGTTCATGCCTTGGTTCTGTAAATGGGAAACAAACAAACCAGCTCAGACAGAGTTGCACCACACTATTCCAGCCAATCAGAAACAGAGCACGAGACTGTGGAAAGGCCATGGATATATTCAGATGGATATAAAGGCGGTGGGAGCGTGTACAACAGTAAAACGGAGCATCTGGAGGAGCACTGATTTGTTTTAAGTGTTTAATAAAATATCAACAGTCTTGCTCCAGGGTCACTGACTCCACCTTTGATCTATAATATATTCTCTCTCAGGGCTCTCTGATGGAGCTGAGTGCCGTGGACCCCTGGGGGGCCGCCCCTGCTGCTGCCACTGTGGGCTCTGCCGGTCCCTCGCCTCCACCCACAGTACCTGCCCCTGCTGCCTCAGGTCCGTGGGGCACAGCCCCCGCAGACCCTTGGGGGGTTGCGTCACCCACATCTCCTACAAGCTCCGACCCCTGGGGTGGGGGAGCCCCGCCCACTATAGCCCCTCCCCCAGACCCCTGGGGAGAGACGTCCAACAGAGTTAACAACGTCGACCCCTGGGGGAGCTCCGGTAAGATGCTGCAACACTGGTCATGTATTCACTCTGTCAGGTTTGTTGGAAACATACTCATCGCTGAGTATAAAACAGAAGCGTGTCCTGCTCTGTGGGTGAAAGAGGATGTGAAGACGTCTCGACTTTTATTCCTCTTCACTCCACTGTTCCATTTCCTGTCTTCATTACAGCCCTGTTACATTTTCTGTCATGTCCCCATGATGTCATATTATCTCATACGCTCACATGCTTTCAGTTTGTAATGAGGAAAGCAAGCATGCTAAACCCATTCTCCCTCTGTGTCTAAACCAGGGATTTTTATCCTCTTGTTTCTACTCAGGACTGACTGTGGCTGTGTCTCAACCAGCGCTGTCTCTTCTCTTACCCTTATGTGCCTTTTTAATGTATGGGCTAGCTGCTTACTATCTCTCCTTTACCTCCACGGAGTTTTAGATAACAAATAGGTGACAGTAACACGGTGGACAGCTACAGAAAGTCTGCTCTCACCTGTGGAGTTAGTGGGACTGCAGAGGTCAAGGAGAGAAACACCAGTGTTGGAACCCAGCCCAGCTTCCTGCTCCCTCCTTATTGTGGATTGTACCTGTAAGGTGTTGTGTTAACCCTCCCCTCCCCTGCGTCTCCTCCCCTCCCCTGTAGCTGTGACCCCCCCCAGTGCCGACCCCTGGGGCCCCCCAGTGCCACCCAGCACGTCCTCCTCGGGGGGGCCAGTAGACCCCTGGGCAAGGGACGGGCCTGTCCCTGCCTCTGACCCTATCACCTCCGACATCTGGAGTGGCACCGCCAAACACACAAACGGCACAGGTACATTCACACTTATAGCTACACGGACTCACAGACACTGAGGTACTGGTTCACACGCATGCACACAACAGTTGTCTTGTCCTACATTTCATCCTCCTCCAGTATCTGTGGTAAAGCAGTTCTACGTTCTGTTTCATTATAATGAAAGAAATTATATTCTGATTTCTATTCCTCCTTCGTTTCCTCCTCAGGAGACCCAGAGCGACGAGGGTCCCCAGCAGCAGGCTGTGACAGCACAGGCTCACCGGTGCCCTTCGACCTTTCATCTCTTGGTTCCTCACTTCCTGTTCGTAAGACTCCTGAGTCCTTCCTCGGCCCCAACGCAGCGCTTGTGGATCTCGATTCCCTGGTATCATCTAAACCCAAACCCAAACAGCCGCCGCCTCCTTCCATCTCTTCCTCTTCAGCACACAACCCCTTCCTCCAGAACACAGGTTAGTTACAGCTAGGTTACAGTTAGGTTCAGCATTACCTCTCTAGACAGTCTTACTCTTCCTGGGAAGGGTTTTTAAGCTTTTGGTAGAGCCATGCAGGTTGCACGAAGTTTTAAATGTCATCATCAGCTGTTTAATTATTCACAATAATACACAGCTGAAAAAGACCATCTATATAAAATACGCTCTGAATCAGGTCCTTAATGTCTTCAATTCAATGTTACAGTAAGACCTTAAACGTCATTAAATAGCCTTAAATTTGAATTTGTGAGGTCTTAACTACAGTTTATCTTATTTCCTTTATCCATTTTTTAATTTCTTTTTGTGAAAATGAGTGAAGCCTTTATATGTAAAAGTCCCCATTTCTAATGTCACATATCTTTAAAAAACTATAATACTGTCATTTTATTTAATACTTGTATTTACCTGTTGGCAAAATGTAGACAAACTTCACTCTCTCTGATAACTGTATTCATACATAACAATTACCTCTGCACAAGACCACATATATACTACTTACCTGCGATGCCTGGATAAGTAAAACATGATTTGTCAAAACATCTGTCCTAAATTTGGTTAAAAGGTGTCTTGAATGGGTCTTAAAAATCAATAAATTTAAGTGTCTGATACCTGTAGGAGTATGGGGAGAGTTTGGCTGAAAGGAATTTGGTTTTTCTGAATACCCCAGATCAAATGCAGGCAATGAACCAACCAACAATCATGTGAGAGATGAACTATACTCATGTTTTCTGGAGTTGCACTAAACTAAGCCTTTCTGGGACGATTTAAATGCAACAAATAGGCATACAAGACAGGGTATGCTGAACAAGGAGTCATATAATTAGTGTAAAGCTGAGCAATAATTTGAAATATTTACCAGTCTCTTCAGAGTTAAAGGATGCTGAAACCAGTGAACGTTTCGTTTCGTTTTTTTTTTTTTTTTTAAAGATATTTTTTGGCACGTTTTAGCCTTTAATTGATAGGACAGACAAGCATGAACGGGGGAGAGAGGGAGGGAGTGACATGCAGCAAAGGGCCACAGGCTGGAGTCGAACCCAGGCCGCTGCGGCAACAGCCTTGTACATGGGGCACCTGCTCTATCTACTAGGCCAGTGACGTCCCACGTTTTGCATTTTTGCCAGAAAAAAATTATTATCAGAAAAGTTTGGGGCAGCAGGGTGGCGCAGTAGTTATCATTGTCGCCTCGCAGCAAGAGGGTTCCTGGTTCGCACCCTGGGGATGCGGTGTGCAAAGCCTGCATGTTCTCCCCGAGTCAGCGTGGGTTTTCTCTGGGTAGTCTGGCTTCCTCCCACAGTCCAAAGACATGCAGGTTAATTGGTGACTCTAAATTGGCCGTAGGTGTGAATGTAAATGGTTGTTTGTCTCTATAGCCCAGTTTCCACTGAGCAGTATGGTACGGGTCAGTTTGGTACACTTTTTTTCTGTTTCCACTGTAAAAAGTTGTAGATGGTACTAGGCATGTAACGATATGTCGAATTCCGCGGTGTCATGATAAAATAAATTGTCAATACCATCGTGGGAATGCCACGGTAGTTATATAGCAGCGTTCTCCTATAGAGCCGGTAATATGACTGTGCGACTGCATTCCCCATAATCCTTTGCATGCAACTGCGCGTGCAGGTGAGAGCATACTCGTGCAGCTTAGCCTCCGTCTCTGACCCGTGCGTGACCGGAGGAAACAGCGAATAAAAGTACGAAGATTGATTGTTCTTCTCTGTGGATTTTCTCCGCGACCGTGTGTCATAGCGAGAAACCACGTATATCACTTGAAACAGCGGAATCGTGGCTTTCCGACAAGACCAAGCACTTGTCGGTAGTCCAATGTTTTCACAGCGAAAAAAAAATGATAAAGTTACACTAAAATAATATATAACAAAGCTTTCATACAGCTTTGCACATTACTTTTGGATGGATTACTCGCGAATGCAGGGTCGCACAGAAATGCCACGCATATCACATGAAAGCGCAGGACCAGAGCTTTTCTCTCCTCATCTCCTGTTCTAGGGTCTCCTTGATGTCAAGATTGTCAACCTGGCGTGAACAAACTGAGTGAATCGTGTGTTTTTGAGTTTTTCTATGACTTCCAGGGAAATGGCTGGGCTTTATTTATTTTGGTTTTCTTTTACACACATCTCTACCCACCTCTCTCTCTTTCTCTCCCTCTCTCTCTCTCTCTCTCTCTCTCTCTCTCTCTCTCTCTCTCTGTGTCTCTCTGTGTATCTGTGAGTGAGGGATTGAGTTTACATTATTTCTAATTTGTTAATTTTGTTGTTGCAGGGTCTGATTGTTCTAAGTTCTGTATATTTGATGAATATTAAGACTACTCTATCCTCATAATTTGATGTCATTCAGATGACTTTCTAGTAATAGTACTACATTACTTTTGTTCAGAGTAGGTTAAAAAATAGTGAATGTTTCCATTTTCATATTCTGTCACTTTAGTTTTAATTGACATGACTTTGTTATGGCACTTTAATGTCTGCCTGCCTAGCAGTAATAGGGGGGAAATGAAAGCACATGTTCAACTGTGTGTTGATTTGTTTATGATACTTTATGATGCGCTTCCAAGTTAAAAATAACATGCTGTACAGTGTACATGCACTATTTTTGAATAAAATAGCTATTTTTAACAATAAATTTTCTCTTTTTTCCCCTTGTATAAATATCGTGATATATATCGTATCGTGGACTTTTTATTGTGATAATATCGTATCGAGTTTCTGGTATCGTTACATCCCTAGATGGTACAGATGAAACTGTTTTGTACCATCCCCATTTTTGGTCACCCCCTCTGTTGGGGTACCTAGCACACAGATCTGGTGTTAAAATGTGGAGTTAAAACACTGCATTCCATTGACTGGTCAACAAAGAGTCATTACTTTAGCCCTGTGATAGTCTGGCAACCTGTCCAGGGTGTACCCCGCCTCTCCCCAGTGTCAGCTGGGATAGGCTCCAGCTCCCCCACGACCCCTAACAGGATAAGTGATTACAGAAAACGAATGAATGAATCAATCACAAAAGTTGCTGATAATTCTGTCGATGTACTTATCGATAAAATGACATGTCATAGATTTGAAAACCTGATATTGATTAAAAAAAAAAATAATTCTATGAAAATGTGTTGAATATAATGTACGGGTAGATATTAAGTGACTTTTTCTGTCCCCTCTGACCCTCAGGCTCATCTCCTGCTCCTGGCATGGCAGTGACACCAGGAAGCACCATTTCCAGTCGGGGAGTTTCTCCAACGCCTGCCTCCTCCAACCCTTTCGGCGTGGCTCCATCCATGACCTCCATCTCACCTCAGCCCTCATCACTTGGCCTGAGCGGCCTCCGCTCCAGTCCTGTGCCTCCCAATCCCATGCTGGGCATGGTGCAACCCGGAATGGGCATGGGGCCAATGAGTGTGGGTATGGGGGCTCCAGGAATGGGCCTGGGCATGATGCAGGCCAGCCCCATGGGCATGCCCTACAGCGGGCTCTCACCTATGGCCCCCCCGGGCTCGGCTCTGTTGGGGCCCGGAGGCACAGCGCCTCCTCAGCTGATTTTGGGTGGGCCCGCTGGAACAGGAGGAGTGATGGGGGCAGGAGGGTCAGTTGGAGGCGGAGGAACGACGGGAGCGAGCACCAACCCTTTTCTTCTTTGAGGAAGTGTCACCACTACTTTGCTCACCTGTTTCAACCTCCTCTGTCGTACCTGCTGCCCCCTTCATTCACCCCCCACCCCCCCCCACCCCCACCCCCAAACACAATTTGTGTCCAAAAAGAAAAAATGTGTACATCTCTATATTTAAAGAAAAAAACAAAAAATCAAAAATTTTGTTTATCTTCTCCTTGGAAAGCATTATTTCATTTCAGAATAATTTTCCACATTTAGTTCCTTTCATTTCAGTTTTGGGTTGTTTTTGGGCGGGAAAAAGAGATCTATTTATTTTGTTTTAATCCTGTTCTGTTCTGTATCGTTCTTCATGTTGTTGGGTTTTTTTTTTGTTTTGTTTTGTTTTTTTCAGTCCTGTCTTGAGATGAAGGTAAGTCTGTGAGCGCAGGCTTCTTCAGTAGTGTCACTCTGTTGTAATATTAACGCACTGAGAGAGAGACAGAGGGAGAGGGGACTTAGCCACTAACAAACTGAACAGTGAAACTGTCGTACCTGCCTCTTCCTCTTCTCTCCCTCTAGAATGAAGACAAACACTGAACCACTGAAATGAAACGAGTGCATGAAGGATGAATTTTAAACGAACTCCAGACTGAGATATGGACTGAAAAACCTGCATTAACATTTAAGGCACAATGTGGTCAAACTATTTCACTTTTAATTTAATTTAATGTTAAATGTAATTTATTTTTTTCCAATTTTTGGGAACAAATAAACAAGGAAGATCACACGATTATGCCATTTAAATCAAATGCTTATTTTCCCCCCTTCCTTACTATTGTAGAAAACTAAAGAGAGCTCTGACATCTGTGGTCCGACGGGGAAAATGATGGGATGTTTGATGAATGTGTGTGTTTGCAGCAATGTGAGAATATGAATGCTCATTTGTGAGTGTGCAAGTATGCAATAGTGCAAATGCCTGTTTTTGTGTATATGTATCAATATCGGTCTCCATTTTTCCTGTGTCCCAAATTATTTCAGTGACTCAGAGAGGAAGAAATGACATCCATTATTTTTGTTTTTAAAAATTGTCACTTGTATTAATAATATGTAATGTTGGGATTTCAAATGAGGTATTATAAGGGTCACACATTTCTCTGCCAATCATTTTTATTTTTTTTTTGTTAATCGGAAGCATTAGTTATTTTTTTCCAATCTCACATTTCATGAGATCCCTGGTGTCCAGGTGTCCCAGAGCACCACTGTCCACCTGTTTCGTCCCTCTGTCCTTTGGGGAGGGAGAGCTACTGATGCTTCTTTAAAAAAAAAAAGACAATTATTTCAGTGAATGAAAGGAAGAAAAAAAATGGGACTTGACGACATGCTCCATGCTGTTCTTTTAATTTAGTTTGATGAATTTATTGTTATTTTATATCAACAAGAAAAATATCTCTTTTATCGGGTAAGGTTGAATTTTGTGTGGTGATGACTGTGAACATTCACATTTGAAAAGTAAAATGGAAAAAAAAATCAAAAGGAATTTATGAAATAAAACAAAAACACAGGATGTGTGTTTGGCTTGTTTCATGCTTCCTCTGTAGTTCATGTCTATATCCCATATGTGGGTTTTTTTTTTTTTTTTTTACTGCTGCGGAGAACAAAATGTGACGAGAATAAATTTACACTTTATTTTCTTTGGTGAACATGTTTATAAATCTAAAACAGAAAAAACACCCTGCTGATTACCTGCAGAAGAAAAGCTTAACAGAAGTTATTACAGCATATGAATTTGAATAAAACGTGGAAAAAAAACATACAACTATTTCAACCTTGAAATACAGCATTCAGTCATATGTGACAAACTTGATCTCAAACTTGCTCTCTGAGAAGCTTCAGGATGCACAAGTGAGGCAGCCTCTGCATAGAGTTTAGTAAAGACGGCTGTGAGAGCCACATTTCTCTGAAAAGTTCTGTTGTTTCTCCACACGCTCACGGCGAGGCTCAGGCGAGCAGAGAGTCCCAGTCAAAGTCGTCCTGGATCTCCTCACTGTTGCTGTGGAGACTCTTTAATGGAGGACGCTGTCGAGGCGTCATAGACTGAGGCTGCATCCCAGCTGACACAGGGACAGAAACACAGACTGAGTTAGAGGAAGCCAGATTATGCGAAGGATATATTTCCATTTAAATAACTTCTCCTTTAAAACAGACTGCATGTTTCCATTTTGGGAAACGGCTAAGAAACATAAAGGTTAGGTTCACACTTTCAAGTCTACTTTAATGAAACCGTCACATGTCTGCGTGTACAGATGTGTGTGCATGTTGACTGTGAAAAGATCCCTTCCTAACACGATTTTAATATAAATGATGTGACTGAGCAAGTATTCAGAGCATTTACTTCCATAAAAGTACTAATACCACCTTATAGAAATACTCTGTTACAAGTAAAAGTCCTGCACTGAAAATGTTACGGAAATAAAACTATGATTATAATCAGAAAAATGTTCTTCAAGTGTTAAAAATACAAGAACTCATTTCAGAAAAATGTTCCCTGCAACCATTCAACTATTGCATATTATATCCTCGGATTGTTATGACTCAGTGCATTAATGTAAAAGCAGGATTTTATTGTTGTAGTTGGTTGAGATGGAGCTCATTTTGAGCTGTTGTATGCAACATTCAGATCATTACTATGGCAGCAAACCACTAATTGCTATGTAAAGACATGGAGGAGTCTTGGCACTCCTTCTGTGTGTGTTGTAATTCAAGCTTCTCTGTGTTTTGTTGTGGTAGATGGTCCGGATAAGGGAATACTTAGCATATCTATTTCCAAACAGGTGCATCGGAGAGGGATGAGCAGAACGCAACTTGTAGATAAACTCCCAATCATTATTTTTACAAGTGAAACTGCGTACAGAAATTTTTCTACAAGACAGTCCGGACACACATCCCTGTCAGTGCATGTGTGTATCCCACTGGCTCACTCATTGCTGCCACTTTGCACTGCTGTCATATGGTGGTTACCGCTGATACCTGCACAGCGTTGTCACTGAAGCGTAGCACCCACCTTCTTGTTACCCCCTGGTTAACACTGTTAGCTCTGTCAGCACTGTCGCTGTTGTTTAACACTGTTTATGGAGTTGGCACCATTATCTACTAGCCAAAGTCATCCATTGACTTGTGGACGTCTTTTTCACAATGTAAGTCTATGGGGAAAAAGTATTTTTGGGCCCTGTGGCTTCACATGACTTAATGCACTGTTTGTACTGACATGTTTTAAACTGTAATGTTGAAGCAAAAATGCATGTGCCTGGGAAGTACTGAGTGTACGACTGGAAAAATAAGACTTGGAATATACTGCAGGAGTTGTGCAAGAGGTTGTGAATGGATTTTCTGATATAGTTTTGCTGTTGTTAAAGGCGGACCCTGATTACTTTAATTTGGTCTGATTGCTCGTTCACTGTGGAGGCATTTCTTTCATTTCATTTAAATTAAAATCACTGAAAGAGAGAATCCTTTGGACGGGAGCAGTGACAGTAACAGTTTCAGCCTGCTTGTGAGAATCCTTTTAAAACAGACTGAAAAATGTGAACCTTTCCTTCCACAAGCCAGACTGGAAATGTTCAAACAACTTTTAGAACAAGATGTTTGGGTCTTACCGGTTGTGTGTGCAGGTTGTGTTAGCTGTGGCCTGTGGAGGCCTTGTCCCTGCAGGTGCAGAGCCCTCCGGGGCGGCTGCACGCCACCGATGGGGTGAGCCATGGGAGAGTAAGGGAGGGGTGAGGGGTGAGTGAGGCTGGAGAGGGTAGGAGGAGGGTTGGAGGTGAACGATGGGACCTGTACGGGGTGAGGTGCACCGAGGGCGAGTGGGGAGTTACTCATGGAGTTGATCATGCCTTTCTGAGTGAAGAAGCGGTTCAGAGAGTCACAGAGGGAGGTGAAGAGCGCTGGGTCCAGGGCCCAGTCGCAGAGCTCCGCCTGCCGCATGCTCTCCAGCAGGTCTGGTGACAGACAGGGAGCGTCTTTAAGTACAAGACGAGTTATGAAGAGAGGCAAAGACTTATGTAACAAATACACATGATTACATTTACAACCTTTTTTTTCAAATATCTCAAGACATTCTGCCAAATAAAATGTTACATTAGCTGCAAAAGAAAAACATCTTAAAGGGATAGTTCACCCAAATCACAAAAAAAAGGCATTTTCTCACTTACTTCTTAAAAAAATATGATACCAGTACCAACACAAGTGATACTGATATGAATAGAGTACTTTATTCGATACCAATAATGTGAGTGGAGTGGCGTGCAGTATAGCCGTACTTTCTCGACACACTGAACTGCAAACTTCATTAAATAGCACTGAATTCTGTAGCTGCTGGAGTGTAATCTCTTCATCTGGTCACACACACACACACATTGACAGGGGTAACTGTTAGCTTCACATGGCTAACATTACATAATGGTTATTAATGGGTTTAAGGACAGAGTTTGTTGAAAGGGTGAAATGGTTCAGTGTTGTGTTTTTGTTGTTAACCGCTACTGCTGTTATCTTGTGCTAAAGAGGTAAATGTTGAACTGACCATTCTCCATGGGAGGAGGGGCTTTGGAGAAGGCAACAGAAAGTTTGCTGACCCTGCAGGGAGTCAGGACAGTCTGGGATTAGACCCCCAGTGCAATGCAAGTATCATTTGACTGGAGACTTTTTGATACTACTTGGAAATGGGTTATTTTGGTCGATACCTTAAAGGTATCAAATATCGATTCTCAGCACTATGTAACTTCAAGTTGTATTTAGCAATGGACATAGCTTCTGTTTAGATATCAGTCTCTGAGATTCCTCCCTCCATGCTAATATTCTGTAGGCAAATGGAATGTAGTTTTTGGTGTGACACAGAATTGAAAAATGTATTTATTCATTCGTTAATTTAAATGTTTTGATGACACTGTGTCATTCTAGCCTGCAACGATCATTTATTTTCATTGCTGAATAATCTAAAACTAAACGAAACTAAATGAACATAAATTTTCTGTTGCTTGACTTATTTGCCGATTAGTCCAAAACCCAAAGATTTTAAGTTCACTATCATAAAAGGCAAAAATAAAGTATCACATGTTCATATTTTAGAAGTTCGGACTAAAAAACATTTGGTATTTTTGCTTCAGAAAATTACTGTCAGTTCATTTTTCTTGATGTACAATGGACAGACTTTAATAGTCCTTTGTGTTCACACTATAATCAACAACAAATCAGCATGGCCAGCTATGTTACTGCCATTAAAGTGTTGCTTGTGCGCTTCTTAACATAGTTACGTCATCACAGATTTGTGTGTCTGCTACTTGCCTCAAAGCACCTCAACTGAACATAAAGTTTGTATTTGGTCAAAAATACATGCCAAGTAAGCTAAATGACAGTACAGGAACACAGCTAGAGAGAAAAACATATGATTGGCTGACGCTTCACTGCATCATTGAAGCACTGAAAGTTGAGGCCAGCTCAACTTTGATTTGTAGCGCATCATGCCCGTCCACTGCAAACATAGACTGTATAAAATAATGGACCTAGCTACTGTGACATCACTCATTGGGTTTGTAGCCCAGAGTTGGGCATTTCAGCTGTCGCCATCTTGATGTTGTGGAGCGAGAAGTGACCATGTTTGGAAAGGAGGGTACATTTGTGGAAAAGTGAGGAATGGATCTGTCTGAGAACCTGAGATGAGGCCTCACAGACACCCAGAGAGGCCATGGCCTTAATCATGTGTATCTTTAAGTCTTGATAAAAAGTAAATGGCTGCGTTATAGAGTAATTCACCCCTAGCACAGTTGTCATGAAGGGGGAAACTAGCTACAGAGATCAGAACCATTTTTGTACCAGGCTGTACACACGTTTTTCTGCTCTAAGGTTGGATGTCTATGGGGATCGACTGGCTTCAGGAGCCAGCCTCAAGTGGCCATTTGATGAACTGCACCAACGTTGGCTTCATTTTTCAGCTCCAGAGGTTGCTTCTTGGCAGCAGCAAGTGTTGGGCTTCAGTTTGTAGCTTCATGTCACCTGTTGCTGTGTCACTCGTAGTGTGAACACTGCACAGTACTAAGTGGATTCATGACTGATGTGTAGACGGACCAGAGTTAACACTCAGACCAATATCATAAAACCTCAGCAGATAAAACCCGAACTGCCCCAGAGGTAAGTGAGAAAATACCTTCATTTGTGATTTGGGTGAAGCCCCCCTCAAACAAGACTCTGGTAAACAGCACAGACCTGGGTGACTAGAGAGGTCTATGTTTGCCCAGTCTAGACTGCTGGCAATGCGGAAGCTCTCCTTCAGAGAATCTGGGTTACTGAACCAGTCAGCTGGCACCGCTAAAGTGGAAGAGAGGAAGGTAACTTTAGAAAGCACTGATCTTTCCTGTGTCATGTTGCTGCTTTTAATACAGTCCAAGGATTTCTAGGGTCACGGCAACGTGAGACTCACTGTATTGTGGAATGCGGTCCGTCTCAGGCGGGTGCGCAGCTGGTGGAGGTGGTGCGGGCGGTGCAGGAGCAGGGTGAGGGGACAATGGTAACAGAGTCGGAGTGTGAAGAGGGGTAGTGTCACTGTGCGGGACAGCCAGAGGAGCACCATCAGCTGTAGAGAATATAAAATAAGTCATTTATTTCTGTTTGCGTTTGCATACTTTATAGAGTTAATGGACACACAGTACTTACACTGTGAGCCCCCCCGCTCCCGCATGGTCTTGAAGAGAGACTTGAAAGACGCGTACAAGTCCGGTAAGGTCATCTCATCGAAGGTGAAGCGCAGCGGAGGATCAGTGGAGGAGTTTAATGAGACAACAGGAGCAACAGATGATGGGACAACACACACAGAGGGGAGAGTGGGTCCTGGCACAGTGCACACAGACACAGGCGCTGCGTTAGGAGCACAGGAGAAAGTGGGAGCACACACTGAGTTAGCAGGAAAGGTCAGAATGGCGTTGGAGAAAGAGGGAGCCACCGAAGAAGCTGCGGACATGTTGGCAGCAGACAGAGGCGTAGCAGAGGCAGTGGGGATGGAGTAAGTGGGGCCAGGTGGATGGGGAGGTGGGAAGGAGTTGATGGAGGAGATGGGGGCGGCAGGTGGGAGCCCAGCTGAAGGAGAGGCCGATGGATGATGGACAGGGTGAGTCGACCCCGGGCTGGGCATGTAGTGTGACGGTTGCTGTGAGAATAAAAGACATTAGATCAGATGCTGCAACTGTGGCTGTGATGAAGAGGAGGGAAAGTGAGTCTACCTTGCATGGGGGAGGAGAGAGGGAGGCAGAGTGGGGCGGCTGCTGCTGGATGGCTCCCATTGGCTCTGTGTTATGAAGATGGTGGTCTGTGTTGGGGGGTGGTTGTGGTGGTTGATGAGGAGAGGCTCCTCTCTCTGCTTGTGACCCCTGTACTTGAAGAACCTGTAACAGCACAGCGGTAAGATTTTTAAAGATGGATAAAGAGAAGTAAGAGAAGCATTACTCAAGTTAAAGGCCCCCTCCAGTGAGAATCAAGTTCTTACCCTGGTGTTTTTATAAATCATGAGCAGAATAAACAGTCAATACTTTGGCTGAGTATTTCCCCATTGGAACTGCAGTGTACCAATGACAATCTCAAGTACACAGACTGTCTTCTGGGGTTTGTTACATCACAAATATAGGGAACCAATCCATTCAACATGCAGGTTGGGGCTTTCCATATCATTAGCATACCGCTAAGGTAAAACCTATTTTGCTATTTTGTAACTTAATTTCAACGTGTCAGAGCTGGCGATTGGGACCCAGGCTTATCTAACATCAACAACACATTATTAGCTGTTTGATAGTCTGAGTTCGCTGCATAGATCAGCTTCTCATTGGGTGGAACGAGCCTCCAGTTGTGTAGCAATTTTCAACCGTTTTCAACACGTCCTTTACTAACTTTTGCGGTGTTTGATCTTGCGGGGATGTAGCCATTTTTCTGCCATGGTTTGCGTCCTGTAGGTGATATTTTTGTGGGCGTGCTACACCAAAACCTGTTTCCCCCGGCAATATTTTTGCAAGCGCACCGTTGCTGTGGCACAGCCCAGAATGATTGTGATTGGTTGAAAGAAATACAAGCAGCTGGGGAGTTTTTTTCTCCAATCTTAAAGTGAGAGTCGGCCCAGCCAGACCTTTCTTTTCTTGAGAAAGGTCTGGTGAGCGAGACTAGCTCTTTGATAACTTAATCGAGCTAAGGGTTCGTGTTATCTATCACTGTTAACAAGCAGAGGTTTGTGTGTTTGATGAGCAGAGTCGAAGGTGAGCAGGTATGCTTTCAACCCAAATGCCAAAAAAACCTGGATAGGTAACATTTGTATGTTACTATGGAGCGGATATGTTGAAACTTATTGTTTCTTTATGTTTCAACAACGCTGTGGTTAATGTGTGGTTAGCTTTAGGCACAAAAAACACCTGACTATAGTTAGGGAAAGATCATGTTTTGGCTTGAAATACACAGTTTTCGTGGCACTATTCGGGCAGGAATTGCAGCAATGTCTTGGTACAAAAACACCCACATTTGGTGGCTAAAACGAAGACTTGCTAAAAATTAAAATAATAATAATAATAATAGTAAAATTTGCTGGTCTCGAATACTGGTCCACCGCTTGGCAGGTGTCTTGCCTAGGTTTCACGCCATCCACCATCCCCCTCCACCTCTGGATGACAAATTCCACTCATAAATTACATCACTAGGTTGCTGTGATACATATGAAATGTTCGGATGTATCATACTTGTGATTTGCAGAAACATACAGCGCTAACATTTTCTTCTGGTGACTGGACTGATGCTTGAGAAGGCGGGGAGTGACTGAAACTTGCATATTCATAGATCTGTGCAAACTAAATGAGGCAAAGGAGTTACATTTAAGCCATTTTGCAGCATGAAGGGATTTTTTTATGGAAAAAATAAACTTCTAAATATGTAATCTTGAAGAATACAAATGAGTTTTAGGGATTTAATCAACACCTGCAGAGGAACTTTAAAGGTTTGGTTCACCCAAAATACCAAGAAATACCAATTTGGTTGCCATGCTTTTCTTTGCCTGGGTTTTTAAGATTTATAACTCTCAAAAAATAATGTCAACCTTTTTCATATTAACAACTTCTTTCATATAAAGTAAAGCCCCTACATAAAAATGTAATCTGCATGGTCTGCAGATTCTCACGAGTAGCCAGGACACTGCTGGTGTTGAATCTTAAATGTAATATTTTAATGCTGTGCACAATAAATTATGTTTCATTCATCATTTTATTGTGGTGGAGGCAGAAATCTCATTTCTCATTTTGTCTCAAAACCTCGACAAATGAAACCAAAACCAGTGTCTGCATGACTAAATAACACCAGAGGTAAATTAGGGAAGATGTTGTATGGGTGAAGTGACCCTTCTGAAGTAAATAAGTATTAGGAATAAAATGTGTCACGGAAAACTAGAGTGCTAGGTGTTGATTAATGAGTTTTACCTAATGCATTACAGGAAGTTTTTAGTTTCAAATCTTAATTTGCCAATACACTAGTGATTACATCTGACAGACTAATGTAGAGCAGTAAAGAGTAAAATATGGGGATAGAGTGCCAGCATTATATGGCTTCTTTACACTTTTGGGTATTTTAGCAATATTGGTTTGATAGTAATCAAGTTAATAAGTGATATTAAACAACATACATCCTGCCTCTCCTCTTCCTCCTCTGGGTAGGGACGCTTCGGTGCCCTCACTGGATTCTCTGCAGGTCCATCCATCGTCCAATATGAGCCCTACAAATACAGCACAAGTCTCCAGTTTAACACTCTTTTATGCAAACATTTTTCCATCTCACATGCACAAGCACAAATATGTGTACAACATCATGATATAAATAGTATATAAAAAGTAATTCACCTTGCCGGGGTCATTCTGAGGCCGAGGAACTTTCCTGAAGCATTTATTAAGAGACAGATTGTGACGGATGGAGTTCTGTTAAGGACAAAAACTCAGTCATAAACCAGGTGATGCAAATAATATTAAAATTGTTCATAAAATCACCTCCTACTTCAAACGCATCCTTCAGTTACAAAGACATTACTACCCCAGTACACTGACAATATGTTGTTCTACATTACAGCTCACCTTCCATCCACGGCCCGCTCGGCTGTAGTAGGGAAACGTGTCACTGATCCAGGTGTAGATGTCATTCAAACTCAACTTCCTCTCAGGTGCAGCTGCTATTGCCATGGCGATGAGAGTGGCGTAGCTGTGAGGGGGTTTCCCTTTATAGTTAGAAGGGGAGGGGTCCGGCACAGAGGGTAGAAAGTCTCCTCTCTCCCTCCCTCTGTCTTTCTTCTTGTCCCTCTCGCCTCCTCCTCCTCCTCCTCTCTCTTTCCCCGAGCGCAGGCTGCTGATTCCCAGCTGAGGCAGCCAGTCAATACTGGTGAGACTGGAGTCCAGTTCAGAGGACATTGTGTGCCCTTTTCTCTGTCCAGGGTCTGGGGGATCAGAAGAGGAAGCACTGGATCAACATGTCCTTTTTACTCTGGACACAGCAGCAGCAACACAAACACTGTGAAATGCTTAAGTGGATTCCTCTCTGCCTGTAATGTAACACTGTCAACCGCTCTGTTCCTGAACTTCCACCCAGCAAGATCAGACACTTTGAGCTGCTCTGGAAACTATCCACTCACAAGCAAACACAGTGCATGAATGTGTGACCATTTTACTGTCACAGTTCCACCTACACTTTCTATTTACTGAGGAAGAAGAGAGGCTTGCTTACCTTTTTATGGTCACTCGAGGCCCAAGGCCTTAGAAAGTGTTAATATTTGATGTTGTCATCAGCTGTGCACAACTGCTGACAAACTGGTGCCCGTCCCTCCCTTCAGATCTCTCTCTTCAGCATGTTGATCCACACCGGGCCTCCAGTCATACCTTTGGATTGTGAAAGTTGGTGTAACTTTGGAGAAACACACAAAAAAACTTGTCGGAGAGCTTCCTTTTTCTCTCCCTGTCTCCTTCCCCTCCCTTTCTGACTATACCAGAATGACGTCACTCACCCCTCCCTCTCTGTGACATAACTCTTTGCTCCCGCCTCTGTCAGCTGGTCCCTCCTCTTCAGCTTCTCACAGCTTGCAGTACAAGTTTCAGCTCTCTGGGTTCAGTAAAGAGGAACAACCTGTAAGTTTGTCCTCAGGTTTAAGGGTTTGATTCAGAAACACAAACACAAACGCAGTGCAGATTTATAGCAGCATCACTTTATTGAAGCACTTTAACAGTGTGGTGGAAGCAGTGAAATTCTGTACAGTATCTATGGGACAGAATGACAGGTGATGATCTTCCTACAGGGCGCTGAAGAAGGCGAGGAGGCCGGTGTCAGGGGACGGGTGGGCCAAGAGCTTCTGGATCTGTCAAAAGAGAGTATACGTTTGTCACTTCATTGCTTACGCTGGCAGCTCAGAATAAAATCAAAATTTAAGACTACAAAAAAGTACCACTGCAGCATAAAGTCTCCCCTCACCCCACAGTATAAGGTCATCTGTAGCTGGCCCTCAGTGTTTGTGATAAAGGTTGTAAGCAGTGTATTTTTGGCAGCCCTGAAGCTGCAGTCTCTGGACTGATAGCAATCTGTGTACGTGCAAATTATGTTTTCCTCTGGAGTTTACTGCCAGGCCTATGGTACGTTCCATTTGCATTGGGAAGTCAGAATTTCCAGCCAAGCGTCCAGTTGGAAGTTTCAACTGGAACGCCTCCTGAAGTTAGATTTCTGATTTGGAAAGTCGGAAGAACCTCACCAACCCCAACCTTGACCTCAAACTCCAAGATAGCTGCTGAAAGCTGTAGTAATATACTGTTTATTAGCACTTTGGTCTTATTTGTGACACATTAAAACAGACGTACACACAGTACTGTCCAGCTCCTGACTTTAGATATGTTGTTATGGTGTTTGTATGTGCAAAATACAGCTTAAAGCGTTCTTATTAACTGGTATTGCTAACAACATCGTGGTTTTCTGACTCATATCTAATATCATTCCCAGCTCCGACTTCCCACTTCAGAGGTAAATGGAACGCAGTATTATATTCAAAACAGAGAGCAGCTGTACTAAGCACCTCCTTGAAGTTGGGGTGTTTGGCGTCTTGAACCAGCTGCAGCAGAACAGCCTCTGTGGTGGTGAGGTACGCTCCGCTCTGCTTCAGTCGGGACAGAGCAAACAGACGGTCTGTCTGGCTGTGGGGGAAGACACACAGAAGTATTAAAACATATACAGGTAAACAGGTTCCAGACATACACAGGAACAGATTCATATTAAATGCAGGTTATATCATTGCATGCTACACGGCAGAAATAACAGAATACACAGATACCTTCTGGATGAGACGGCATCAGCCACGATATGAACCTCTATTCCCTTTTCCAGCAGGTCATATGTTGTGCACTGTGGGAAACACAAGAAGCAGAGGTCCTCGTTAACTAACTGAATCTGTGGCACATAATGACATAATTACATTACTTAATAGTGTAATAGCTTAATTATCATCTGTCACATCATCACCTGCTGTTTTTTGGGGTCATTTTTAACAACAATAACTAATACCTGCTGTGTACATACAATGCAAACACATGTATTTGGGTACACTTTAAATTGTGTAAAAGAATTTGTTAGAGGCTGTTTCTTAAATTCTTTAATCTCTAAAGGGCCAGTGATAAAGAAGGTAAATTTGCAGATTGCAATAGACTACTTCATTTGATACCATTTAAAGGGCCAGTGTGTAAAATGGGTTGAAAACAGTGACATCAGTGGTCAAATTCTAGATTGCAGGGCTCACTCGCTCACCCCTCCCGTCGGGTAAATGACGGTGGCCTCGTAGGGACAAAAAGCCTTGCGCACGAGTTTTACAGGAGTAGGCCTATCTTGCAACGAGGTGAATATTTATTTAGAAATCTAAACCATGTTACGATATTGTAATGAATCCCTCACGAGCAGGAGACCAGAGGAGCGTTCGGGAAAAAGGCCAGTTTATTTGAGCACTCCAGAAACTCCGGTAACACACCACTCCGTCCCAAACTCTGACTCTTCTAGCATAACACACACACTTCATACACACATACTCGTTTACCATCCTGAGTGGGGACCCCCCTCTCCTCTCTGCTCCACCAATCTCCAGCCCGCACACTGACTGACAGCGTAGCCTGTAAACAGAGCTCAGCTGTTTATTTAGCCTAGCAATATCTCCGGACTATAGTAGCTGCAATAGACGACTTTGAACGCGATTTTGAAGAGTTTCTTGTAGCGGACACAGACCCAGAGCCATACCTGTTTGAGCCAGAGCATACAGATGAGGAACTCCATGTGTTTGATGCTGAGCGGGCGAGAAGAGAGGCTGAATGCACAGAATGGGATTCGGTGCTACTGCTGCCATCGTTGGGGAGATATATCAACAGGAGGAAAAGCACCGCAGAGAGTGCATCACAAGGAGTGAAGTTGCGTTTTCTTTTCCTCGCAGATGACGGTTCGGGTTGATTCTCTCCTGTTGTGTGGTAAGTGTGGTCCATTCGCAACCTTTGTAACTAAAAAAAACTTTTCACTACTCTCTATCGATGAACTACTAACACTCTCTGCTGTTTCCTCCTCCTTCTTCCTTCCTTCCGCTGTCTTTGTTGGTTCATTTATACACGCGAAACACGTTCTCTGGCTGGCTGGATTGTCCACTCGGTCTGCCGTACATACATGGCGGCGCAAGATGGCGATCTCTCTAAAGCAAGGCCCTTGCTATATATATATATAAAAGCATAATTATAAGGCTACGAAAACCAAACGAATTTTATTTTATAGCGATTATACACTTATATAAACATATTAATGGGTAGAATATTCAGATTCAGATTCAGAGTGACAATAAACCATGCCAAATATTACATACTGGCCCTTTAATAGCCATCTCCTGAATGGAAGCATTCAGTTATCTACTTTAATTATGTTTGTTTTGGTGGCATGATGAACTGCCAACTCCAGCGCTCAACTTCACCACACCACAGACATAAAGTCAAAGAACTTGCAGTGATTGGCTGCAAGCAAAACCACACAACAAGTTTATCTTTCTAGATCTGGGTACAAAAAGAATCAAATGCAGGTACTGTCTGACTGGAGAAGTTTCGAGTACTGATACCCACGCTGTTGAAAGTCTACATAAAGAGATCACCTTACCCACCTGAGGCAAGGAGGATAAATCCAACACTCCTGCCTGAGAGGGACCCACCTCCCTCAGGTGCAATCACACAAGTTAATGAGAGGCTTTAGATGCAGCCTTCCTCCTTTTGTTCATACTTTTGTGCAGCAGTCATGATGTGTGCATCCTGTAAGTTAACTTCCTTTAACACTTTGATTCACCCTCGTATTGCACATTGCTAATATTGCTGCTTTGAATGGAACTTGCTGACTGCTTCCCCTTCCTTGCTCATGTAAGTCAAGTCCAGCGCTTCTCCACAACACACACTTTAACTAGATATCAAATAAAGTGGGGAAAAGCTTCATTAAGGTTTGATGATGCATCTGTTTGCAACAGCAGATTCCGATCACGAGATGAACATAAATATGAACATAAATGTATGCGTGTGTCTTCATACTGTCTTTCATGAGGCCTGGTTCATTTTAACAGTGTTGGGTCTTACTGCAATACAGGCGTGTGCCTCTATTCCACACAGTATAGCCTGCTTGGGGTTCCCCAGGGCCTCCAGCTCCTTCTCCACCTCCGCTATCATCATGGTGAATGAAGTTTTAGCATGAGCTTTGAGGTCTGATGCTCCCAGCTCTGGTACTGTAGGACCCAAGCCTTTGGGGTACTGCTCTGTCAAAATGGGGGGGATGCCCAGAATACGGCTGGCCTGTGAGAAGAAGAGAAACAGTTAACACTTAGAAATGAATATCTGAGGCTGATAGCTGGTATGACTAACATGTAGGGTTGCGACAGATTTCAACGGTAAAATACTATGCTATCACGACATATGATATTACACTTATTAGTTACGCCCTTAAAGGAAGTAAAATGCCTTTTCTGGTTGAACAAAGGCTCTATTATAATTGAAATTTGAGACCATTTTTATGGATGTTTGTGTGAAAGGTCTGACAGGCAGTGAAGGAGGAAAGGAGATGCACATGTGCTGGTGAGATTCGCCGTATGGTTGCATTTTTTTCAACACCATGAACAAGCAAATGTGCATGTTATAATTGTCATTTTTCATACTTTGCTAAACGGTTTCACCGCACACTGCTGCAACCCTACTGACAAGACACTGCGATAGTAATGTGATGGTGAGTATTTCTAACCTGGAGCACTCTGGCAGCGTTGCTCACAATGTTGGTGAACTGGAAGATGCTGGGTCTGAACTTCTCCTGCATATCACACAAGAAGACCACGGCATCTTTGGTGGAGAGCCTGCCGATGTTTGCCACTGCAAGAGCAAGGTCAGATAAGGACGAATCATGTTCAGATACAATGAGTTACAAATCCACTGGCACAGTGTTATGGATAGCATGTCACTGAATATTAAAATAGCCCTGAAGCTTGGAGAAACAAGCAATGAATGACATGTTTGCAATATAGTGGCTACTTTTGAGATTTCTAACTTCAAATCTTGTTTTTACACTGGTGCAATGTGTCTACTTCAGGAGGAAAGAGGTTATCTTTCTTGTATGAAATGTTTCCTTAATAGAGTTCCATTGTCTTCATAACAATTGAGATCAAATAGTTGCTTCACACAAATGAACTGTAGTAACACACAGATGGCTGCCATCCTAGGTCATCTGAGGGAACTTAAACATAAGAAATGTACTTACTGTTGAGATCTGATGGTCAGATAGTAAGGAGCAGGAGTAGGTGACAGGTTCAGCTGGACTACAGAGAGTTTATCTGTCAGGTTAAAGTATAATGTCCCATGTGACGCCTCCTGTGTAATCAGAAACCAACAGAAAATGTAATGTTACCTATTTTAGTTGCAAGTAAAGGAGGAAGAATGCACTAACTATTTAACACAAAACTGCAGGAGATTAATCAGAAAGACAACCAACATCTGAATTTGTTAAAATAATTATGCTATTAACAAATATCTATTCAAAAGTCAAAACAATAACTAACCTAGCATGTAGCTAAGAAGACCGACAAGTTCAACAGCCTTCCTTTGAAAAACACCACTCTCCAGAAGCCAATCCACCAATAGAATTACGCGTCTTAGTGATTGACGTTTCTGTCAGTCAATAGCAGCCACTGCTCGCAGCGAATCGCCGTGCTAGCTGAGGTGGGCGGGTACTGCTCACCCACAGTGGTCACCTGAAGATGTCTGACAATGCAGAGTCCCCAACGGAAACGCAAAAAGAGGAGTCACAGCCGCCGTCAGACGACTCAGCGACAAACGATGATAAGAAGAAAAGTAAGAACGCGCAATTTATCGGAAAAACCTGGTCAGTTAGCGCACAACAACCACCTGTTTACGAGGAATGTTGATAGTGCGAGAAGAAGCAATTCCGGGTGTGTGACGTGACGACGATTGACTAAGATTTTGGCCAATAGGAACGCTCCGTTTTTCTGTTCAGCCAATAAGCGTTTAGCTTTTTTCATGTGGCACTGCCTGGTTTGGGGAAGATTGAAAGCTAATGCTAATATTTATGAAGACAACATGACATCTTTTTGCTCTTATTTGATAGATATTTTTTCAGAGTGCATGTTTGTCTTATATTGTATTAAATATGTTACGGTAATGCCGATAGCAACTGCACATTTAGTAGATAATACTTTATAAAGGCTAAGCTAACAAACTTCGGTTAGCTTAAAACTGTCTAACTGTCAGTTTAGTGAAAATCATGTTTTGGGGTTTGACATGAGTTTGAAATACTCTTTTATTCTTGTTCTTATTTTATTAGCCGTGTTAGATTTAATTCAAGGATGGCTTTCTGTTTCAGAGTCATTACAGTAAACAATACTGGCGTCTTACTGTACTTCATACGTGTTAATAACAACCCTGAGATGAAACTCTTGAATTCAAATCAGGGTCAAGATGATAATCATTACACAGTCTGCCCAGAACGTATTGTTTTGATCTGTTAATCTGTCTTAATATTTAAAGTAATAGTAATCATATAACAGTGATTAAATACATGAATACCAGTAAATAAAGAAGGACTACACACTCCCCTTAGTTCATAACATCCGGTATATGAGAACAAAATAAATCCTAGTTAAAATGGCCTTGGCCCGACCTGCACACATGACACTATACATATACACTGATCAGCCAAAACAACAAAACCACTGGCAGGTGAAGTGAATAACATTGATCATCTTGTTACAATGCAATGTTCTGCTGGGAAACTTTTGGCTCCTGGCATTCATGTGGATGCCACCTGACACGCAGCACCCACCCAAACGCCGCTGTGGACCTAGTACACCCTCCCCCCCCACATGGCAACAATGCACCTTGATGGCAGTGCCCCCCCAAGCAGAGCAGTGCGTCATGCCTCACTGCAAAAACTGCTCAGGAATGATTTGAAGAATGTGACAGAAAGCTCAACGTATCGACCTGGCCTCCAAAATCCCCAGATCCCAATCTGAGTATTCGTGGGACGTGTCAGTACCCCAGAGGAACCCCAGAGGAACCCCCGATCCACGGTGGGGCCTTCTTGGATTAGATTTGGCTCTGACATGTCAAGGCATGGACACAGGACCTCTGGGGGTGTCCTGTGGAGTCTGGCACTGTGGCGTTGGCGGTGGATCCTTTGACACCTGTCGGTTGTGAGGTGGGGTACTGGCATGTCCTATGGATGCTCGATCAGATTGAGATTTGGGGAATTTGGAGGCCAGGTTGATGCCTTGCACTCTTTGTCATGTTCCTCGGGCCATTTCTAAGCATTGTTTGGGATGAGGCATGGTGCATGTTCTGCTGGAGGGGGCGCACTGCCATTGAGGAGTGTTATTGCCATGAGGGGGGGGCTTGGTCTGTTACGGTGTTTGGATGAGAGATATGCTTCAAGTGGCATCCACATGAATGCCAGAACCAAAGGTTTCCCAGCAGAGCATGGCATTGTGACAAGATGGTCAGTATTGTTCATGTCATCTGTCAGTGGTTTTAATGTTTTGGCTGATAGATTATTTTACATATATTTTATTCCTTTTTCTGATTTTCTTTTATTGGTTTTTCAAACAAACCAACAACAAGCAAAACAAATAAATAACAGCAATTATAAAACAACATACAACCAATAAAATACACCACAAGTCAAAAAACTGACAGCAAACTGCTACACGACAGGACAAAGGGAAAACAACCGAGACAGAGCACTATATACATAAATTTGTGGATGTGTGTACACAAAAATATATACATGCATGATACATATTCTACATGGTACAATTCATAAATATCAATCATATACGCAAGTTAACACCTCAGATTATTAGAGAGGGTGCACTTATCAGCACGCCAGGTAACAGTAGTATAAGGGCCTCATATAATGTTTTATTCCTACATTTTAACTAGTGCACAATTTATGTTTATGTCTTCATTTGTCCTCTTTTACTTTCCTTTGATACATTTTTTTTGCAGTAGCATTCTTGGACTGAGCCTGAGAACAAGAATTTAATTGCCAACGACTGCTCCACTGCAGCTGTTGTGCAAATGACATGTAAAGAACTTGTGCTTGTATATTCAGCCATTTTGTGTCTGTGGTCATAATAATGTTCTTTGAGTATAATGTTGCACACATGAGATCTGAGCAGCATAGGATGGAACAAGGATGGAAATTTGTAGTCATTCGGGTAATTCCTGAGGATGCAAAGCTTTCACAGCCTGTTTTCATTCATTCATATTTTCTAAGCTTATAAGAGTAAAGTGAACAAATGGATCTAATACCCTGAATGTTTAAAGTGTGCGGGCTTCACTCAAAAAACTTTAATTTTAAAAAATGTGCCATAACACATAATGAAATAGTACAGCGGATTAGCAGATAAATTGTGCACTTTTTGAAAATAGCATGAAATTTCTACCATAGTTAGTACATACCATAAGGTTTATTTTCAGATGTGGAAGGAAGTCAGATTTGACCTCTGAGGCCCGGGAGAGGTCAAATTCAAGATGGCTGCCAATAATATTCAAATATGCTTAACTTTGGAACCAAACACAGTAGAACGACATTTAAGGTGTCATTTCCAACTAAATTTAGGGTGCCCATTCAGTTGATGATACTTTTGAAATCACCAGAATTCAAGAAAATGCATTTAGGTCAAAGTCATGGTCAAATTATGCAGACGGAGTAAGATAAAGGGCGCAAAAAGATGGTTTATTTCCAACATAATAACAGTAATGGTAATGATCACTAAAATGTATTTACTTACAATATTTCAGTAGACCAACTATGCTTCTTATACTGAAACTTGCTTTGAAATCAGTAATAACACGTCTACATTTACATGCCAGCTATTAGCTCTCAAGCCTGTTTGATACCAGCGGCACAGTATTGAACTATGCTACTTTGCTATCACCATTAATTCAGCTATAGTCCTACTTCACACAAATGACCGAGCTGAAATCTCTAGAACATGTGCTGTTCAATCATTCAACTAACTTCAGCTCATGTATGTTCCAGACTGTCTTCTAGTTTAGCTAGCAGAATTATTTTGATCAGTGCCCGCTTTTTTTTTTTTTTTTT